TGGAGGGTGAGAGCAAGCAGGCAAAGAGAGCCAAGTTTCTTCTTTCATGTCTGTTATATAGGCTTCCAGCAGAAGGTGTGTCTCAGATTAAAGGTGGATCTCCCCACTTTAAAAGAAAGTTTTAGGTTAAAACTGGGTTTCCTGCCACCTGGAATGGTGGCTCACACCTTTAATTCCAGCATTCAGGAGGCCGAGGCTGGCAGATCTCTGTGAAGCCAGCCTAGTCTACAAATCGAGTTCCATGACAGTCAGGGCTGTTACACAAAGAAACTCAGTCTCAGAAGGAAAAAAAAAATGAGTCTTCCCACTTCAAATGATTTTTTTTTTCTTTTCAAGACAGGGTTTCTCTGCGTAGTCCTGGCTGTCCTAGAACTTGCTCTGTAGATTGCTACGGACTGGCCCATCAGGGGTACCATGGCCGTAGGAAAACCAGGGCTTGGGTAGTCAGGAAGGCAAGGATTCAGCGAATGACAGACAGACAACACACTCAGAAGTGGTTTGAATCTGCTGTAATTTTACTTTTGCAAATCAGTAGTTTATATACAGAAAAGAAAACTATCAAGTCATACAAGGAACAACAAGAGCTTGCCAATAATTCAATTACATCATCTTTAAAAAACAGCAGGCACACAATTATTAATCAGCGTTAGACATATCCCTTCACCTACAAGAACTTTATGACCCAAAGAGCAGTCTGTGTTTTTTAAACTTAGTACAGTCCCTAGACTCGTGTAGACTTCTTGCGATTGCAGCTGTGTCCCTTATCTTATCTCAGCAGTTTTCTAGTTTATTATACATTTTTACTTTTTTGGTTCTCATGGCCTACTTAGCCAATTTGGATGCTGCAGACCCTCTCTAAGTCTTTCTTTAGTTTTTCCATCACATATCTCTCTAATATAAAACCTTTTTACCTGCTGGAATATGGACTCTTGTACTTTTACACTTGTAAGGGGAAGGGGTTCTGCTGTTCTGCAGTAGTCCTTAAGTTTCCCATGCTGAACTTCCTCAACGAAAGGGGCCCACCATCTGCCTCCTATGAGATAAGGTTTTTTTGTCATAAATCATTTTAGTTGGGATTCCCAAAGGATTTCTAATGGGTGAGTGTTTATTCCCCTAGAAGTGTCTAAGCCTTTATATTTTCTTTATCTAGCAGTCTGGGGTTTTTAAGAAATAGCTCATTCTGTTATATCTGATTAAGATCCATGTCCAGCTTCCCCTTTCCTCCATAGTTCACAACCCAAGCATTCATTAATTTTGGCTGTGTTTTATAGATTAATTAGAACATTATCAGAAAAGCAGTTATACAGAACCCATAGCCCAGGGAGCTCATGATCTGTGAAGCACGTCTCCTTCAAGAAGGAGGCATAACACGGGCACTCTGCCAGGGACCTCCAGGGAGCTTAGTCTCATGGGACATGTATCTCCTGTCTGCTATTATTGACATAACTGTTCATGTCACACGGATGACCCTGGAGTTGGTGTGGCAGTAGACCAGGCTGGCCTTGACCTCACAGAGATCCTCCTGCCTCTGCCTCCTGAGTGCTGAGATTAAAGGCATGTACCACCATCACCCGGCCCCATTTGGAATGATTTAATGAATGAAAAATTCCTCACAGGTGTACCCAGCTGCTTGGGTTTTAGTTAATTCCAGATTAATCAAGTTGACAACTGAGACTAGCCATCACAAGTTCACCCTTAGTCAATTTGACATGCAATCATACCTCCTTATGTCATGCTTAATTTCCAAATGAAAACAATAGCCAGATCATAATTATGCCTAACATGATATAATTATCTCTCATACAATTGCAAACACATTATAAATTTTAGAATAAGTGGTAATGTCTCTTGAGGGAAACTCTTTTGGTATTTCAAAAATTAAATATGATAAGCACTGATATTCTCTTAATTGATATTGCATTATAAGAGAAGCGGAATTTTTTTTTTTTGGTGTGTGTTTCGTGGCAGGAGCACTGGAACTCTTGGAACAAAAACCTCTAGGTCAGCAGAACTTAAGGTGACAGGAACAGGAAGGAAATTTTTCTCTAGTGAGTCACTAGAGGTGATAGCGAGTGAATAACACCCCTCTCCACCCCATAATTCATCCTGGCTATGGAAGAAATCATACCACATATTGAACACTGATTTAAAGCATATTACACCTTCTGGAGAACCCTGCCACAGCCCTCCAGGCTGCTGCCACCTAATTGGTACTGTAACTGTGTCTTCAAAAGGCCAGTTGCTTCAGGATGGTGGGGCACATGGTAAGACCAGTGGATTCCATGATCATGAGCCCATTGTCACTCTTCTCTGCAGGTGAAGTGAGTTCTTTGCTCAGAGCAACACTGTGTGGAATACCATGGTGGTGGGTAAGGCATTCAGTAAGTCAATGAATGGTGGTTTTGGCAGAAGCATTATGTACAAGAAAGGCAAACCTATAACCAGTATAATACAAAGTCCTTCCCATGGAAGAAGTGATCCAAAGCAGTTAACTTTTTATCAAATAGCTGGCTGGTTAGACTAGCTGGACCACAGCCTGCACCATGCATAAGTGGATAGCTGCAGCATTACAGTCCTTTTCTGGGACAACCCTAAAAGACATCAGTGAAGGGAAATCTTCACAGTGTGTAGAACTTCAGGCAGTACACATAGTCTTACATTTTGTCCACAAGACAAATGGCCGGGTGTATGATTGATCACTGACTCTTTGGAAATGGCCAGATTTGTGAATGTTCACTGATTCATGGGCTGTAGCCAATGGATTGGCTGTATGGTCAGGGACTTAGATTAGACGTGATTAGAAAATTGGTGAAAAAGACATCTGAGGATGAAGTATGTGGATAGATCTCTTCAAATGAGTAAAGAATGTGAAGATACTTGTGACCCATATAAATGCTCATCAGAAGGTAACTTCAGCAGAGGAAGAGTTCAATAACTAAGTAAATAAGATGACCTATTCTGTTAGCCCACAACCAAAGTGGCCATGGTGGCAGAGATGGAGATTATGGCCATGGACTTGACAACATGGACTGCTACTTACCAAGGCTGACTTGGCTACAGTTACTGCTGAATGCCAGAGCTGCCACCAAGCTAGCTTTAATTGTTCCCTCTATACTCCCCCACAGCTACTTCATATGCCCCTTTGCAAAATAAGGGGATCATGATCAGAAAAGAAATTGCAGAGCTGAATGACCCAGGCGATTCCTAAGATGACATGGCAGTAGACATTCCTTACAAGCTCTAAGACAACGTCTAGGAAAGTGAGTAGGTCTGAGTTTATGGTAAGTAGCACATGGAGTGGACAGAGAGGACATTGTAGGAAAGGGAGGTTTGTTTTTTTGTTTTGTTTTGTTTGGCTTTTATATTTGGGTATATAAGGAAAGAGGAATTTTCTTGGGCTCTCAGATACCCATCCATTGAATTGCAGAGTCCCATGAAGTAAACCTAAGTCCTGGGAAACTTGGCAGAGGGTTCTGGAGTAAAAATCACTTCATGTTGATTCTTTGAGGTCAAACTGGCCAGACACTGATATCCTCTCCAACCTGCTGCTGGATGTGTGATGCTCTGGGAAGGACCTTGCTTTGTGAAATCACTCCTTGCAGCTGAGGATCACCTCCTCTTCTTTTGAATGTATGACAGCAGCATATCTCACCTAGACTTTGTGTCCACAGCACACGCCCACTTTTTTTTTTTTTTTTACTTTGAAAGGAATTGCAAAGACATATGAGTTAGATTGCCTAGGAATGCCAGCGAATGCATCTGGCATGAGTGGGAGGCCTGGGATGTAAGCAGCTTAGCTGGTGACCCATTTCCCCTCACTGGTTAGCTACTGAGCGGATTTGTTTTCACTGAAGCCTTTTGTAGGGTATAACATATATTATGAGTTTTAACAAGAACTCATGGAATTTTGGTATTTTCTTGTAGTGGCCCCAGTTAATGAGAAAGTTGATCCTTCTGCTCATCTAAACTCTGTCATTATCAGGGATAAATTATTGGGCAATGACTGTGTGCTTGGCATCTTAATTAACCTAAACATTTCCTGCACATATTTTAAGATGTTTATTAATATTCTCATTCTGTAGAGAAGAAACAGAGGCTCACAGGTTAAAAGGTATTTCCCAAACCTTCAGACTCAGAAGCATAGACACAAAGAAGACTAAATGAGGAAATCTCTATAGCAGTTTTTCTCACCACCATCGTGCCTGGCAAACATGGCTTACAGTGAATAAACAATAAATATTGGGTGACTGGAGAGTGGTATAGCAATATGGATTACCACAGATAACATTTACAAGCTTGAAATTTGCTCTTTTTGGTGTGAGGCAGTGTTTTGGGAAAGTCAAGGAAAAGATATGCCATTAAGCTTCATGCCCCAGATGCCAAAGCTTTGGCTTTATGTTTTTTAAACTTCCATGGGAAAGGGCATCCTGATGCATCCCTGATTCTAGTGATATGAGTTACAGAAGCAGATGTCATAATGCAGTAGAAGTATGACTAAGCACATCACCCATGGTGCTGGCAGACAACAAGCAAGGGACAGAATCACAGAATTGCTTTGTTGCTCATCATCTGCTTTCACTTCAAGAAAATAGTTAGAAAATGGCATTTATTTGTGAATTAGGAAGTATGAGATGCATTCTGGCCAAGTCCTGAGTGGTGGTGCTCAGGATTGCAACATGTGATTATTTCCCCTAGATTCTTTGTAAGAGGCTGGGAGAAGGTAGAAGCAAAATAGAACTTGATGTCTGATCTATAATTCTCTTTCCAAACTCAAGAAGCAGAGCTTGGTGGACTTTCTCACTTTAATTAAGAGGCCCAACTCCTTCCACATGAGCTTAGCCTGAGCTTGGGAGCTGGACTGTAACAGACCTCAGAGCATTCGGGGCTTTCGTGCTGCTGTGCTGACCTACATCTTCATGGATTACCAATAATAGGATTTGCTACTCAGAAGCTGAGACCATACCTACTCAAAACACACAGGGTATTGCCTACAGATAAAAATGGCTTTTGTTTTTTACTGTTTCTTGCAAGTTCTGGCCTCTTGGGATATACATGCAGCTCAGTCTTTCTGTCTGCCAGGGTGTACCTGCTCAGAGGAGAATTTCGGCAGGTGCGCTGTGCTGATAGGATTCCAGAGGGTGATAGAGGTGAGGGGGGAGTGGGCTGTCTTCTGGAGTGATAGGGAGTGACCCAGGCTTAGAGCTTGTGGGAAATCAGCTAAATCTCCGTGGGATTCATTCTAGTTGGTTCTGGAGTTTATTGAGCAGAATGTTTTTACCAATGTCAATCACTTTTAGTTCAAGTTCATTATTTTTATTTAATCCCCATGTCTAATGATGATATCCACCCAATACCACTTCTAGGTCCCCTGATGCTTATCATAGTTTTCTGCTTTCTTATACAGGAGTCTACAGTGCATGTCTATGCCTTTGGGAAAGATTCCAGGCAACTTTCCTGAAGAACTCAAGCAAGTCAGAATTGAAAACTCACCCTTATTTGAACTTCCCCAGGGGTTTTTCGCCAACATGAGTACCTTGGAATACCTTTGGCTCAACTTTAACAATGTCACTGTGATTCACCCAGGCGCCCTAGAGGATCTGCCAGAGCTGAGAGAACTGAGACTGGAGGGGAACAAACTCCGTTCAGTACCATGGACAGCGTTCCGCACCACCCCTCTCTTACAGGTCTTGGATCTCAAACACAACAGGATTGATGCACTCCCTGAATTGGCTCTTCAGTTCCTAGCCAACCTGACATACCTTGACATATCCTCCAATAGGCTGACAGTTGTATCCAAGGGTGTCTTCTTGAACTGGCCAGTCTATCAGAAACGCCAGCAGCATGGTTTTGGAGCTGGAATTATCTCCAGCATGGTGTTGGCACTGCACAATAATCCCTGGTTATGTGACTGTCGTTTAAGGGGGCTTGTTCAGTTTGTCAAGTCCACTGGTCTCCCATTCATCCTAGTGAATTCTTACCTGATATGCCAGGGCCCTGTCTCTAAAGCAGGACAGCTTTTACATGAGACTGAGCTTGGTGTTTGTATGAAGCCAAAAATCTCAACCCCAAGTGCCAACATCACTATCCAGGTAGGAAAGAATGGAACCCTGCAATGCTTGGCACAAGCCAGTCCCTCACCAAGCATAGCATGGAAGTATCCTCTGAGCACGTGGAGAGAATTTGATGGTAAGCCACATGCACTCTCTGGAAATATATGGGAGAGGCAGTGTAGAGGTGTATCTGTGACACTGTCCCATTACAGAGGTTTAAACTGTGCCTGTCATAAAGGATGGGTGCAGGTAAAATAGGCATATATGTGCATTAACTATTCAGAACAAAAAAGAGTCCAAGATAGCATTCTACTATCAGCACTGTTTAAAGTGGGTACATGCAGATCTCATATGTAAACAAATATACTGGAGCTGATGATTTCATATAGCATGTAAATGTTAATAGAATTACATATGAACAAATAAATTTGGGGGAACCTTCTAGACAAAGAGCATAATATTGACATTTTAGAATTCTAAAATTTCTAACTAGAACTTATTCTACCATATGTCACCAGAATCATGTGGGGTGCTTATTTGAAATAAAATTTATAAGGTCCTGCCCTGGAGATTTGAACTCAGTGAGTCCAGGGCCAATAATATGCACTGTTACATATGCACTCCCATGGTGTTCCCCTTGAGTGGTCCCCATAAGATAAGGATAGCAAGCCCTACATACCAACTGAATATTTGCTTCAATATTAGTTCAAAATTATAATAGGGCCTATGGGGAGGAAATGACTTCCAGGGGCCCAAAACTGGGACCTGATATTGCACCTCCTTTCTTGAAGTAGGTTTCAGCATTTCCCAAAGCCAGGCAAAGGCTCCCCAGGAGCATGTTGGAGCTGGAAGGACATTTGTAGCTTCTTAACTCTTCCTCTGTCTAGAACAGTTGAAATGGAGTAAAATTTGAGGGCTGCAGCCAAGTCAGTTATCATAAATGATGAACCCCCAGGTGGTTAAAAATAAACAATTGACTGAATTTTTCACTTTTCTCTTTATTTTGATCTTACCCTATGGACTTGGGGGTTGAATGCTAACAGCAGAGAAGGACACAATTCATCATTGTAGTTTTCTTTTAAAATCAAGAAATGTCTCCAGAGATGCTCTACCATTGCTTGTTTTTAAAATGTTTCATTTATTTATTTTATGTGTATAGCATCTTAGTCAGGATTACTTTTGCTGTGATAAAACACCATGATGAAAGCAACTTGGGGAGGAAAGGGTTTATTTGGCTTATGCTTCCTCATCACTGTTCATCAATGAAGGAAGTCAGGATAGGAACTCAAACAGGGTTTGAAGGAACCTGGAGGCAGGAGCTGGTACAGATCATGGAGGGGTGCTCCTTACTGGCTTGCTCCACATGGCTTGCTCAGCCTGCTTTTTTAATAGAACCTAGGACCACTAGCCCAGGGATGGTCCCACCCACATTGATCACTAATTAAGAAAATGCTCTTCATGATTGCCTACAGCTTGATCTTATGGAGGCATTTTCTCAATTGAAGATCCCTCCTCTCCAACAACTCTAGCTTGTGTCAAGTTGACATAAAACTAGGCTTCCCAAGGAGTGTTTTACCTTCATGTATGTCTGTGAACCACATACATGCCTAGTGCCTGCAGTGGCCATAAAAGAACATTGGATTCCCCTGAGACTGGAGTTGAAGGTAGCTATGAGCTACCATGTGAGTGCTAGGGACCAAATCCTTAACTGCTAAGGTATCTTGCTAGCCCCATGATAATTACTCTTAATAATATGCTACATCTAGCCTCCCAGAAATATTAACAGGTAAGACTTACTGATGTTTCCTATAAAACTTGTGGAGTGCATGACATCTCACTTTCTTGACAAAGAGATTGAGGCTAAGAGAACTTAAGCACTTTGCCCAGGACCATGTACTTGAAAGAGCGGGGAGCCCAGGTATTTGATTTCCAGGTTCTGAGGCACATCTGGAAAGTAAGAACTCATTTGGAGCTCACAATATCTCTTAATCACCCCATTTTGAAAAATCTCCTTAAGCCGTGGTATTAGGCTCAGCAAGGCCAAAGTGGGCACTACTAATGTTAAAAGAATATGACTTCCTTAGATAGAAGAATGGGCTCCATATAATTGTTGTCTGTGAACAACCATGGAAAAGTTAATCAGCTACTCCAACCCTCAATGTCTTATATGCAAATTATGTTGTTACCCCATAGAGTTTCTAGAAAGATAGCCCCTGACACAGGTACATGCTTAATAAATAGTAACCATCCTTTTAACACAAGACCTAACAATGCTAGAACTTCCCAGTTATCTATCAAAGAAATGAACAGCTGCTTTGTTCTTCTTTTCACCCAGTGTTGGCCTCATCAATTGCAGAAGATACCATCCTGTCCCAGCTGGTCATTCCAGCAGCTCATCTGATAGACAGAGGTAATTACACTTGTATGGCCTTCAACTCCATTGGCAGAAGCTCCCTTGTCATCTCACTCTACGTCCAGCCAGCCCAGGTTATGCCTGGATTGCACTCTTTTTCCATCTCCTCAGAAGGCAGTGCCTATGTTGACCTGCGGGTCGTCAAGCAGACAGTACATGGCATCGTGCTGGAGTGGCTCACAGTGGCCAACATCCCAGAGGAGCAGTGGTTCACCCTCCACATCGAATCTGATGAAGCTTTCAGGAAGAAAGTAGTCCACATAGGCCCTGGAATCAACACATATGCCGTGGATGACCTCCTCCCTGCTACAAAATATAAAGCATGCCTCAGCCTGAGGAGTCAGCCCTCAGGTCAGGGCCAGTGTGTTGTCTTCATGACAGGCAAAGACAGTGGTGGACTGGAGGGTCGTGAGCGCCTTTTGCATGTCACTGTGGTCTTGTGTGCTGTGCTCCTGGCACTGCCCGTGGGTGCTTATGTGTGGGCTGCCCAGGGGCCATACAACTGTAGTGAGTGGTGTTTATGTTGTGACTCTCTTCACAGGAAAACCCTCAGGTGCCCCCAAGCCAGACCACAGTGCAAGGATAGCTCTTTCAAAGATCTTCCAGCTGTCTACGAGGATGGTGACGGTCACAGGGTCATGGAGGGGATTGAGGAGATAGAAAAAGAGAGTAACAGTTAACAACCTACCATGGAATGGAAATGGGTGGACCTCCATGTAGCAAGCTTTCATGTTGGACTATCTTTGGACCACTAGCCCACAAATAATGACCCAGAGACTTATTAATTATGAAAGGTTGGCCTCAGCTTAGGCTTGTTTTTAACTAGCTCTTATAACTTAAATTAACCCGTTTTTACTTATCTATATTCTGTCATGTACTACCCATCCTCCTTTTTTCGTGTCTCCTCTCTGTGTCTGCAGAGCTGGTGACTCTGCCTTTCTTCTTCCCAGATTCCTTTCTGTTTCTGGAAGTGCCACCTATACATCCTGCAGAGCTATTGGCAGGTCAGCTTTTAATTACACCAATCACAGCAATATACCTTCACATAGTGTACAAATGTCCCACAACACCTCCAGTCCCTGAAACAAACCTTCCATGACAGAACAACTTGGTTCCACCCATTTATCGAACAAGTATGTGTTGAGTATCCATTGTATTCTATACAAGGAACTTGAAGGAGGGAGTTCAGACATAAGAAAAGGAACACAGTATTTATCTTCACATACCTAAAGCCAATAGAGCTCTGTCTTACTAAACTGGTCATTTTATTATGCCTGACAGTGGCTAGAAATTAATGAATGTTATTTTTGTATATACTCAGTTCTACAGAGCACAGGATATCTCATATGCATTATCCTTCAAAGAATGACAGAATAGTCTTTATTGTATGTAAAGAAACTTGACCTCAGAAAGGTCAATGATTTGCCCATCATCTATCTAGCAGGTGGCAGAGCACTGGTCTACAGAGGATGAATCCTCTTGTTCTACAAATGAGTCAGAGCGTGACCTTACTACAACCACTGTGCTCATCAGGATGTACTGAGAACCAATGGCAGGTCAAATAACATTTTGAGAATTAATGACAACACTGATATTGAAATTAATCATCTTTTATTTCTTTAGGTTCTTTTTTTTCTTTCTGAGAAGAGGAAATAAACCTTTTTAAATGGAAATTCCCTATTTGTGCTGGATAGTTTTACATCGAATTGGCACAAGCTAAAGTCATCTGAGAAGAGGGAACCTTAATTAAGAAAATGCCTCCATATGATACAAACCTATAGGGCATTTTCTTAGTTAATGATTGATGGGGAAGGCCTAGCCCATTGTGGGTGGTGCCATTCCTGGACTGGTGGTCCTGGGTTCTATAAGAAATCAGGCTAAATGAGCCTTGTGAAGCAAACCAGTAAGCAGCACCCCTCCATGGCCTCTGTATCAGCTCCTGCCTCCAGGTTCCTTCCTCTTTGAGTTCCTGCCCTGCTTTCCTTTGATGATGAACAGTGATATGGAAGTGTAAGTCAAGTAAACCCTTTCATTCCCAACTTGCTTTTTGGTCATGGTGTTTCATTGCAGCAATGGAAACTCTACTAAGACACTATTGTACTAAAGGTAGAAAAAAATTACATTGTCACCTCATGATAGAAACTGAGTCTTTTAGAGCAGCCACCCAGCCCCATCCCTCAGTTCTTCCTGATCCTCCGAAAGGGGCCTCCATGTGTCCATACATCAGGTATAGCCTTAGTTCTCATGTGGCATCTTCTCTCTTATCTCAGTCCATTTCCCAATGAAGAGTCTTGATAACCATCAGAGAAGTTGCTGCCAACCAAACACCCACGGCAGGTTTTCAGAGTCTGGATTCTCTCAAAGCTCCCATTGTGACCTGGAGTCTATAGTCTCAACTACTCAGAAAGCTGAGACAAGAGGATTATTAGAGCCCATGGGTTCAAGACCAGCTTGATCAGCACAGTAAGATCCTATCTCAACAACCAAACATCAACAACAAAGCACCCTTGTTTATGTAGACAAAATCCTTGAAGGTCTTGAGAAATGAGGACAGTTTTCTCATCCCCACTTTTTATCACATTTGCCAGCTTGGCTCTGAGGGAGAGCAGCTGCAAGACAAAGTTCCACAGACTCTGTTAGTGACAGCTTGCTTGGAGCGAGGATGCCAAAAGGCTCCAAGTTACAGATGGATTGTAGTGTGTCTACCTGCTTTCCTCCAATTCTTTTCACCTGTCCGCCCCCCCTTCTCTGTGGACCATCCATGTGTAAGGCTGTGGGCAAAGGTTCTTTCCTCCAGGACATGTGCTCTTGTATGTGGGCCACAGCAAGGCATCCTCAAATGCACCTTACACTACTCAGAATAGCAGCTGAGCTTCTACCAGTAGCTACCAAGCAGACACTAGGTGTTTGCATCTATTAGCTCTTGCTGCCCTCACAGCAATAAGCCTTTGCACTCTGTGCTGATGAGAAATGTGAGACCCAGACGACCTTGGTCTTTTGCACAAATTCACACATAAGTAACAAAGCCTGTATTCACACCTAAGACTGTCAAACTGCAAAAGCACCTTATTATTTCTTAAAATGAGGAAGTCTGAGCTTGGAGGGCTGAGGAGATGGCTCTGTCAGTAAGGCTCTTGCTATGCAAGCCTGAAGACCTGAGTTTGATCTCGAGAATCACATTAAAAAAAAAATTCAGGCAGGTATTATGGAACATGCTTGTAGTCCCAAATAGGCACAGACAGATGGGCAGATTACTAAAGTTTGCTGGCCAGCTAGTCTAGGTAAAAGTGAGAGACCCTATTTCAATAAACAAGATGGAGAGTAATTGAAGTAGACATCTGAGAGAGACCTCTGATCTCCTCATATGCATGGGTATCCCCCACAGTGTACCTGCATACACACATATACACGAGTCCAAGTTCACAGGGACAGAAACATGGCTTCAGATCCCTTAGAATCACCCCTACTGATTGCGCATGAGGCTAATGCTCCATTGGCAGGCTTTGAAAAGAGGATGGCATTCTCAGCAGCTGTTCTGTCTCCCTCCCACCTACTGACTTGGAAACCTATCATCAAGGCAGACTGCAGATCTGGACCTAGCTCAGCATGCTAGAGTAGGCTGCCCTTCAGCTTGCCACTTCCTCATGCTGTGGGACTTGGAGGCCTCACCCCACTGACAGGGTCTTCTCTAGTGCTGACCACGTTTGCTGGTCTTGTTTGGCTCTATCCTCCTCTCTTCCAGTGGCTGATGTTGGCTACTAGGCCCTTTCTTCTTCTGTGATCATTTCCAAGACTGGCTCTCCTTGGTCAAGGTCCTGGGTTTGGCTACAAACCCATTCTCCTCCTAAGGACCACAGTGCTGAACAGAACTTTTAGTCCAAAGGTCTTCCCTACTACATTGCCAGAAATAAACAGCTTCTCTGACCTCATGCCCACATGAGACCTTACAAATCCTGCCCCTCCTGGACTGCTTTAGGGGTCATTAGCCCATGCTTCACACCTATTTCTTCCTCCAAGCAATTCTGATTGGATCCTTATGGATTAGGAAAAATAGAATTTAAATCCAGGACAAGACAAGGTCTGCAAAGGTGTTGAAATTAAGATGTAGGCAGACAATTTAGACAAAATGTTGCAATCTCCCTCAGTGTCAGAATGGAGGTAATGAATAGTATCTCCCACTGAATGAGCTATGGGGTCAGTGATATTGGTCTCCACAAATCAGTAAACATAAATAAAAGAGTGCCAGGAGGTCAGTTTATCCTTTGAATAATGGATTTTATTTACCACTTACAAAAGAGTTTGACTGCATGCGTATTATAGGATGTTGAACTCCCTGGGTTGGCAAACATGATCCAGCCCAGCACTTTCCTGAAACGTGGGCTAGATAGTGCCTTCCAGGCTGGACTTTTAGTGTCCATACCTTAATACTGCGTAGGCCAGCAACAGCAGATCTCCAGGTGAGGACTCTGCATACTAGCACATCTGTGTAACACTTCAGAACACAGACTAGGGCATCAAGAAAACCATATATTCATACAATCTGTTCACATTAGAAACCACAAAATTCTAGAGGGCTTTGCCGAGTGTACATATCTAAATTTCCTTAAAGTGCTTTCTCAAAGGCCAACAGAACCTTTATGTATTAACCATGGCAGCTTGCAGGGTTTCTCTCCTGTAAGATTATCATACGCTAACAAGCTGTGTCCCAACTAGAGAAAAATAGTGTGGACCAGGAGCTCTCAGACTAGATGCCTACTACTGATCCACTGTGTTCATGGAGCAAAGCACTCTGGGAGACTCATTTCTTTGTGTCAGCAAAATAGACTTGGACTGGATGTTACTGCCTGACTTAGCTTCTTTGAGAGTGACATGGGGTGAGGAGTGAATGGAGGGAAAGTTGTGTGAGTCCAGGAAAAGCCATGATCAGACTGTGGCTGTCTAGAATGATGGTTGTCCCCAATCTCAGAATAGTCCCTCCTGAGGACACTTGGAGTTGCTGAAGGTGCTAATACTTTCTGGATGAAGTGTAGCCAGAGAACTGGCTTAGGACAAATACTTTGTAATCATGCTGTTCTGCACTTGGTGAAAGCCTTCAGAGTCACTGTTTGCTTCATTTTACAGACAAGGAAGAAGACGATTAGAGTTTAAACAGTATCTCTAAGGTCATGTGATTTGAGAAGAGCTGGATCAACACACAAGTCTTGCTTGAGCTCAGGCCTGATATCCACCTACTGCTTTGCCCTCTCTCTTCAAGCCAGCCTGGAGACATGTGCTCTCACTCTTAGAAAAGCTCACCTTACACCTACAGGTCTGTAGCACAGTCTTTTCTCGATGCCAGTTCTATTGCATCTAGTTAAACAGTTAGCATGAGTTTTTAGAGCATTTTTGCCCTTTTCTATAGCTCACAAAGCTCACTGACTTTCAGCTTTAGCTGAGGACAAACCTCCATGAACCTGATGTTAGCTGAAGCTTCAGGATCTAGATTCTTGCCAGTCTTGTCACCCGTGGTCTGGGCCCTACTTCTCAACTAAGGATGACAAGGTCCCAGTAGGATTCGAATGCCTATGGGGTCTAGGATTGGTGAGTAGAAACACACAGACTTGACTCCCTGTGGGCTTCCAGTCTCTGAAGAATAGAAAGCCTTGTAGCTGTGCCAAGGATTTGGGTAGTGGGCCTGTGG